ATGTCACCAGTTGGAGGTCCGCATTGGAGGTCAGCTGCTCAAATGATGATAGAACATTTATTGGGCCCTTATCATGCTGCAGACACTTTCTAAGCACTTTACATGTTCTTCACTCATTTAATCCTCACTACAGCCCTACAAGATAAGTACCACTGTATTCTCCCCACGTTACATGTAAATAAGTTGAAGCACAGAGAAGTTAAAAAAATTTGCTCAAGGTCATAAGGGCTATTAAGTGGCAGAATACTTGGCCCCAGTATTCTGAGCCCACCCCCTAAATTCTATTCCCCACAATCTCAAGAGATTGTTATTGCGTAGGAACGTGCCTTGAAGAGGGCCCCTTGTCGGGGGGCAGGTCGGAGCCACTGCTCTCCTCATGAAGCCCACAGACAAAGAGCAAGAACAGCACTTGAGACCAACTGTGTAGACTGCAACTTGGCCCAGTTAAGGACACATCTGCGCTTTTCTTCCCCAGCCCCCACTCATCCTAACATAGCACGGAACTGGCACCTAGAAGGAAGAAGGGATGAATGTAAATAGCAAAACACCATCTCCTTCCCACTTCCCAAGCCACCAGAGTTTGTAGAGATCTAGGCTGCCTGGGGGGTGAGGAGGAGGAGGGCTTTGAACTGAGTTTAAAATGTACTTAATACCAAAGCCCAGAATGAAATCTTAAATACCAACATGTAACAGTTTTAGTGGCTAAAAAGTTATGGACTGTGGCCAACATGTCCTCCATGGGAAAAGTGATTTTACCATTGCGCAGTTCAGGGGCAAATATTAAGGGGGGCAAAAAGAAGACCATTTCATGTTTTTTGTTATGAGACTTCACACTGAGCCTGGGAACCATTCTTTCTCTTTGAGGTGATTACCCTGTCCACTATTTGTTGAGCAGGCAGGGGGCACTCCTACCACCTCATTTCCAAGTGTTCAGGAGAATGATGCTTCCCTACAGTCCCCAAATTTAGATATATTATACAAACTAATAATAATAATGAATTCTACCAATGACAGACAGATTACGAAAGACTTCACTAAGGGGATAACCCTTGAGCTGAGTCTTGGATACTTGACTGTCTGGGACAGATCTCAAGATTTGAGCTTGGAAATGGTTTGAGAGCTTTGGCCCTATACTGGGACATCCTAGACCCAGACAGTCTGGGGAAGGCCAAGTCGGTACTAGATGACCCCAGGACTCCCAGGACCTGGTCTGGCTTCCTCAGTAAATTGTGACAAGACCTCTACAGCCACATACTAACTTCCGTGATGTCATAAGTAACTCTGGTTGCCCTATCACTCCATATTCTATACATTTAAGTCTCTGCTCAACAAATTCACCTACACAAAATAAATTATATTCCTAACACAACTTATATTTGGCCATGTTGCTGAAGTGATTCCCACTCTATAATTGTGCCTTTTGGAGTATTGTTTTGGTTTTTCTTTTCTCTTTTCTTACTCTTATTATATTGCCTTTTATACTGCAGGCTTGGAGTAAATAAATTCACCAAAAAATTGGAGGAGGACATGTTGCTGCAGCGATAAAGCTTCCTTCCAAAAAGGCAGAAGCTGGCTATATGAGGAGTCTGTCCAGTAACCTTCTATCATAAGATCATAGGGAAGGGGAACAAAACTACAGACTGCCAGAAAGTGCGTGGTAGATGTTGACTCCAGGCCTTACTTCCACTTTAACTTAAATGCAAAGAATTTCATTTCCACTATATACTACTGTGTGGAATAGGAGAGTAAGAATAGGCAGATAGTTAAAAAGAAGCAAGTGCTTAAGAAACTATCTTAAATTTATTTGGGGAAGAAAGAAGTCCTAATGAAATCTCTTTCTTTAAAATGATACTTATTCCAGCAAAGCTTCGGCTGAACAGGACTGCCTAGTAAAACTCATAACACGTCTTCTGTCAGAGCCTTTGTACTTGCTGCGTCCCCTGCCTGGCAGGGTCTTCCCCTAGACATCCATGTGGCTCATCCCTTTCTTGCTTCAGGTCTCTGCTCAAATGCCTCCTGGTCAGAGAGGCTTCCCTGGGCACCCCATCAAAAGAGCCACCCCTACCAAGGCCCACCCCCCAGAGCACTCCCTATGCTCTTTATTTTTCCCTGTTTTAATTCTCTCCATAGCAGGTACCAACACCTGAATGTTTTCTTATTACTACTGGTTTGTCTTTCTTCTTCCAATAGTACATAACCTCCAGGAGGAATGTCTGTTTTATTCCCTGCAATAGCGTTACTGAGAACAGTCCCTGACAAGCAGTAGGTATTCAATAAATATTTGTTGAATTAATGAAAGAATAATTATGATTTTCAGTTTTTTTTAATTCCTACATATTTTTTTATGCACTAAAATAATTTTTCTCTATATGATTATTTGAAATATGATCAAGTAAATATTTGGACTAAATATTATTAATTTATGTGTAATTTTTTGTGTAATCTAGATGGATCATCTCTTGGAGCTTCACCATGTTATGGCTTGCCACCATGACTCTAAAATTCAACAGAAAACTTGATTCCATATATAAAAATTCTCTGTGCATGTCACCTTCAGTAACATAAGTATGGCCTAAAAGAAGGTACAACTATAGAGGGTAACTATTTTTCCAGAGAGCTTGATCTCATCTATGCTCTATTTCTTTTTCTGGAAGGCCCTAACTTCCAAATCTCTGACCTCAAAAAAAACCTGGTTTTTTTTTGGAAATTTACAAAATTTAAAGAGGATATTAACCCATTTCCATGCTTAAGCCACAGTGCTTTGCCCTTTATTCTACTTTCAAACTTGCTAGTAATGTACTTGCTTGTAATGTATTTCTACATTACAAATCTTATGACATATGCCTCATGTAGGCACCAAACATCTAAAGACTTTTTTTTTCAGCTATACTTGGAAAACTGTTCCAAATATATTAAATTATCCACCAGAGTTCAAGATCAGGGGGAAATCAAGATATAGAGTAATAAGGATATAGAGTAATAAGGTCTAAGTCTGTTATGGGAAGATAACATTTAGTTAGATGAGACAATACATATAATGTGATTTGCATAGTGCCCCAGAAGATGTGTTGAATACGTGAGCTATTATATTTAAAGAATCTCTGAGCTGAGAATTTTGAGAATTCACCCTAGGATATCTATGACTCCTCTATCAAGCATTTTAAGTGTCTCATTTTCCGAATCGAATAAAGATCATTAGTCACATAACTGTGCAAAATGCAACTCACTATGGGTACAAATAAGGCAAGTCTTAACCAGTTTGCTCTAGCTCCTCCGAGAACGGACAGGGCAAACAAGCGACGTGCAGAACCGTAGGGACAAATCTCTGGCCCGCCTTCTGCACTCCCAAATTTTCCCGCCAGCCTCCGCGCCCTGCCCTCCGCCAGCTTGAGAGACTCTGTCCGCTCCTCCTGTGCCCCTAGTTCCCGTCATCCTCCGGGCTCTCCCCTTCCTCCGGCCGAAATCCCGCGAAAACTCTTTTCCTCCGCGCTGGTCGCTAGGTCATTCCCGAGGGCTGTCCGAAGTCTCGCGAGGGTGGTCCTGTTGCCCTGGTGACGAGTGGCCCTGCCTCTTGGCGAAGGGCGTAGCTGGGGCTGCTAAATTGCGTCGGCGTTTTTCCAGCCACTGGACCCTAGGTATCTCGGGCAGGACGGCTGCTCCCCGCACAAAAGGGACGACTGGCCTTGCCAAAGGACTCGGGGCGGGGCGAGGGCCTGGCCCGGGGTGACGGTGACGTGCTGAGAGGGAAAAGAGATCGCAGACGGGGCGCCCTCTGCGGGAAGCGAGCGTGCGTGGAAAGGCCGCGCGCCAGAAAATGAGCTCCATCCCACACTGCCGTGCCCAGAAGTGAGTGTGGGAGGAGGACTTTGCCAGCACGAATTGTGGCTTAATCGTTGTCCCCGCCAGGAAAGTCGTCGTGCCTGCCCACAGACCTGTCCGGGCGCGGCGTGGACGCGCCTGCTTCTGCCTCTTCTGCTTCAGAAGTGAAAGATACACACGGAGGGCCCATTACATAGTCTGCGTGTGTGGCTTTCCTGAAGCGCAGGTTTTTCTCTACGGCAGGGAGCACGTTGGCCTGCCTTATATGCTCGTGTAAGGAAATAGAATCAAGATTTATTATGCCAATCCACTTTTCCACATTGGGAATTGTGGTGATCCCCAGGCTGAAATTTCAGTCTCTTGATACTAAAGGTGTCGCCCATAGGACAGACTTCTCTGTTGCATTTGTAGTTGTTTGCTATGAAGCTCGGGCTTTCTTCTCGGTAGTCCACGCTCGAAAACATGCTTTTTGTAGAGAAGAGCATAAACCAGTAGATTCAAAACTGATAAATTCCTTTGGTCTCTCAAAAATAATAGAATCTTAACGAGGAATTTCTGTTATTCTGTTGTCTTAATATTAACCACTTGGAAGGATACTTGCATAGTAGGGGTAATGGTCATCTCCAGTACAAACTTCTGATAGCTATTGAGATTTCAGTAAGACTAATATAACTGAATATTAGAACAGAGACAATATGTACAGAATGTTAACCAAAATATCAAGAGAAAAGTCTATTGTAGTCATTTGAACTATTGCTCTATTTGTCAAGTCTATTGGTCAATTGAAAATTAAGCAGAAAAAAAAATTTAACTATATTGCTGCATTTCACTGCCTGAATAGGTAACTATAATTTTTCTTAGGCTTGTTTTGAATTTGCTATTGCTGTGTGGTATTTAATTGGAAGTGCAGGATTTGGCTGTGTACCCTGGAAATTCCTTTTTCAATTGAATTATTTATTTGATTGTGTTTTATTGTGATTTTGTCTCTTTCTCATAGAAATTGAAAATTTCTTCAACTCTTTGAAATTGAAGGTTTAATTAGCTGTGTCCTAATTAATTTAGTAGTTTGAGAAGGCTGTTGTCACTGTTAATTAAATACAATGAATATATTTTGGGGTATTCATTTAATGTAATAATCACTTTCAACTTAGAAAACTGTCAAATAAGTTTCTTAGAAATTATTTTACAGCCTACCTACATAAAGAAATTTCGAACCAAATACTGGAAGAGATGTCAGAAGATTCAGAAAAGGAAGACTATTCAGACAGAACAATCAGTGATGAAGATGAATCAGTATGTTTTTCTCAACTTTATCTGACTTAATTTTAGATAAAAGTTGTGCTATAAAATATAAATTTACAGTAAAAATATTATAAAATCAATTGGATGTAAAAGTCAGTTGGATGTTCAAATTATTTGTCATTGAAGTTGGGAAATAATTTGATTGAAAGCCAAGATGTTACTGTGTGCAGTATGCCCTGTCTCGAAAGAGAAACTATATTGACAGTGTTTTTTTGAGAAGATATTTTGGCTAAGATTCTTCTGAGTTTTATTAAAATGTGTGTATTAAATCATTAGAGTTTTATTTTTGTAATTCATGTCTGCTTATTATATGTACTAATTCTACTGTGTTGCATCATTATATGTATCATAGTACTGAAACCTCCTTTGTTCTAAGCCTACTGAGTATTATCAAAATAAGTTTAATGTGGCTCTAATGTAACAAAGGAAAGGACATGGAGGAAGGAAAAGGTGGGGGGGGGACAAAATGCAGTACATACAGTTGTCCCTCATATCTGTGGTTTTGCTTTCCCTGGTTTTCAGTTATGGCCCAAAAATATTAAATGGAAAAAATCCAGAAATAAACAATTCATAAGTTTTAAATTGCTCGCCATGCTGAGTAGCGTGATGAAATCTCACGCCCTCCCGCACAGGATGCTCCGTCACAATGCGTATGTCATTCACCTCACATTCATCATCATCATCATCATCATCATCATCATCATCAGGATGAGTACAGTACAATAAGATATTCTGAAAGAGACAGAGACCACATTCACGTAACTTTTATCACAGTATATTGCTATAATTGTTCTAAAGTTATTGTTAATCTCTTACTGTGTGTAATTTATAAATTAAACTTTGTCATAGGTATGTAAGGGAAAAAACCTGATATATATACGGTTCAGTACTCTCCATGGTTTCAGGCATCCACTGAAACATGTCCCCTGTGGATAAGGAGGAGACTACTATATTTAAAACTACTATATTTAAAAATATTTCGTCTGGTTTAGTACATGTTTCTGAGAGATTTCCTTCACATTTTAGTAAAGTATAAATTGTCATGTATGTAAATTAAGGTCCCAAAATAAGCTCCCCCAAATGATGTATAACCCTTTAAGTCTGTGGCTTTCTGTGTTTTCTTACTTTCTCTTTTTTTTATTTTTGTTAATTTTATTTGTATTTTAAATTGTTTGCCAAGATTACCAAGAATCTTTAAACTTTATTTGTTCCCTACAATCATCAATATGACCTTACACTGTAGAAGAAGAGGAATGAAAGATGAAACCTTTAAGGTTTCAGGATATTTGAAATGTTAGGTGCTTCGAGACCAGTAGCCTGTAATAGTCCTTTAATTTTTTTTTTGTTTATTAAAGATTAAAAGCATGCACTCAATTTTAAGTATTACTAAAATAGATGTAGGGGTCAGCCCAGTGGTGGCGTAGTGGTTAAGTTCATATGGTCCACTTCAGGGCCCGGGGTTTGCAGGTTCTGATCCTGGGTGCGGACCTACACACTGCTTATCAAGCCACGCTGTGACAGACATCCCACATATAATGTAGAGGAAGATGGGCACGATGTTAGCCAGGGCCAATCTTCCTCAGCAAAAAGAGGAGGATTGGCAGCAGATGTTAGCTCAGGGCTAGTCTTCATCACCAAAAAAATAATAATAATAAAAAATAAATAAAATAGATGTAAAGAAATTCTGGATTTGGAAACTTGATTTTTAAAGGAGAAATATTTTAAAACTCTCTTGTTTTAGGATGAGGATACCTTGATGAAATTTTTAAGTGAAGATATCCATCGGTGTGCACTTTTAACAGGTTTGAACTTAACCATATATTCTCCCTTCTCTTTATGATAAGACTTTGAGTAGATGAAAAAAAAGATGAAGAAACTAGAAAAAAAGTTAGATTGAATAATATAGGGAATTATTCTTTTATTGGATAGAGAGAGAGAAATGTATCCACTTTTATAAGAATCTTTTGGAGTTCAAACTGAAGGTTTGTTTTAGGTAAACCTGATTTTTAATGAAACTAAATGAAAGTGGTCATTACTGTATAAAGGACTTCACTTGACATAAGGATTTACCTTGGCATTTCTTTAAATAACTAGATCTTTAAGTGAATTTACAGTATGACTCCAGTTACAATGGATGCAATGTTTTGGAAGTAAATCTTTAAAAAAGTATACCTATAAAGAATTTCTTTAATAAAGTCATTCATTTGCAAATGTACATGTATGTGGGCATCTTGAGGTATACTTGATTTTTTAAAATTTAGAATTATACTTTCAAATATACACTATTTCTTCTAAATATTCACATATCTATCACAGATATTCTGAAATTGAAGATAAGACCTTTATTTATTTATTTATTTTGTTTTTTCACCACCATCCTAAAACAAATCTTCACTTTTGAGATAATCATATTCTCAGTTTGGTGTGTATCCTTCTAGACCTTATTCTTCGTATTTATACACATATCTATACCCATAATCATAGAAAATTTGTAGTACTATTTTGTGGACTTCTCCCCACCACGGTTGTTTTTTCATTTTAAAATTTTGACAATCTATTGGAAGAAAGGAGGTAACTCACTGTTTTCCCTAACGTTTCCTTGATTGCTAAAGAAATAGAGAATTATTTCATGTGCTTGTCTACTTATGTTTCCTCTTGTTATGAATTGCTCATTCATAGTAATCTTTTGTTAACCTTGTTTACATTGCTTCCATTGTTTAGAATTATTTTGATGGTAGCTTTATCGTTATTCATTTGTGGCTCTTTATTTTTATATCTGTTTAAGCTACAAAGGCCTTCCCTACCCCAAGATCATCAATATAATCATCTAAGTTTTCTTTAAATGCTTTTATGTACTTGTTGGAATTTTGGTATTTAATTTCTCTATAATTTACATTTATGAGAAGTATGAGGTATGGATCTAATTTTACTTCCTAATTCACAAAGAGCTGCCTTGCCATTTGTGAGTCCTACTGTAAATTAGACAAAATGTGGTCTGTTTACATAATGGATTACTAGATGCTTAATAACTGTCTATTGAATAAATGGATCTATATAACAATCCTGAGAAGTAAAAAGGAAAGGTAACATTATTCCTTATTTATGTATAGTAAGATTTATGTTCAAAGAGGCTGCACTGACCAACCAAAATCACATAGAAACAAAGTGGTAGAATAGAACTCAGTTTGTCTGACTCCTAGTCCAATTGGTGTTTCTGCTATTGTACAAAAACAGCTGAGAACTAAGTCTAGGTAAAAAGCCACATTTCAGAGGTAGAAGAGTAAGAGAAGTCAGTGAGACAAATGGAGAACCAAGTAAGTGAAAGGTAGAGAGAAAACCAGGAAGTGTAACATCATAAAAGACAGGGGAAATGAGCTCAAGGAGGGGTGATTATCAGCATCAAATTGATGCCCCACTTATCCCATTGAAAGAGACAGGGCCTCTTGCACTACCTACTTGGGGCAACCCCATTGTATTCTATATGAGTTATGTTCCTGGGGTTCTGTCACACATCGGCACTAGAGAGAGTACTGAGAAAAAGTTGTGACTGAGAGTTCACTAGCGACCTTTGAAAGTATAGTTTTAATAGGCGGTGAGGAATTCTGGTCAGAGAGTATGTTTAACCCATTAGACAAATAGTTGCCTCAGTGTGATTAAGAAGACTCACCAGTAGACAGTTTGCTAGAAAAGCTGCAAGAAACAAACGTTTTTGGAGTAGCAGTGAGAATTGAGCATAAATTAATAGTATCTGAGGTCAACAACTATTAGCTATTATGAAGATCAATTGTTACAAAATTTCATTAGTACTTTTATTTTTAAGTGCTATAAAGTATAAAATATAACAATATCCACAAATATTCACAAATTAACAATGTTGGCAGGAAAAAAGGAACTATATAAAAAAATTATGGGAATTGGGGTTTTCCTTCTTTTCACTAATGATTGTGTTTGAATCTTTTTTCAGCCAACTCTATTAGTCACCCATTTTTCCCCCGGACTACACAGATACTATTGGAATATCAACTAGGCCGATGGGTGCCACGTCTTCGTGAACCACGAGATTTATATGGTGTCTCTTCCTCTGGTCCGCTGAGTGCAACACGGTGGCCGTACAACTTTGAGGTCATTGATGAAAAAGTCCAGCATATTGGTATGTTCTTAGCAGTTTTGGGGATTCAAACGTTAGCAAACGTACTTTGCCAACCTTGATTTTAGAACAGTGCATTCCAACAGAAATATAATGTGAGACATATATATAATTTTAAATTTTCTAGTAGCTACATTTAAAAAGGTAAAAAGAAACAAGTGAAATTCATTTCAAAAATATATTTTATTTAACCCAGATATATCCAAAATATTTTATATTCTTTTTTTTTTACATTAAGTCTTCAAAATCTGGTGTGCATTTATATTTACATTTCAATTCAATTGTGGTTTCTCTATATCCTCGTCAACACTTGTCTTTTGTTTTTTTGATACTAGCCATCCTTACAGGTGTGAGATGATATCTCACTGTGGCTTTGATTTACATTTCCCTGAAGATTAGTGATGTTGATAGTACAATCCTGATCAAAATCCCAATGGCATTTTTTACAGAAGCAGAAAAACAGCTCTAAAATTTAGCTGGAACCACAAAAGATCACAAATAGCCAAATCAGTCTTGAGAAAGAACAAAGCTGGATGCATCACACTTTCTGATTTCAAAATATATTACAAAGATACAGCAATTGAAGTATGGTACTGGCATAAAGACAGGCATATAGGCCAATGGAACAGAATAGAGAGCCCAGAAATAAATCCATACATATACTGTCAACTGATCTTTGACAAGAGTGCCTAGAATATACAATGGGGAAAGGATAGTCTCTTCAACAAATTTTGTTGAGAAAATTAGATATCCACATGCAAAAGAATGAAATTGAACCCTTATCTTATACCATACAAAAATATCAACTCAAAATGGATTAAAGACTTAAACATAAGACCTGAAACTGTAAAACCCCTAGAAGAAAACATAGGGGAAAAGCTTCATAACATTGTTCTTGGCAGTGATATCATGGATATGATACCAAAAGCACAAGCAACAAAAGCAAAAATAGACAAGTGGGACTACATCAAACTAAAAAGCTTCTGCAGAGCAAAAGAAACAGTCAACGCAGCGATGAGACAACCTATGGAATGGAAAAAATGTTTGCAAACCATATACCTGATAAGGGGTCAATCTCTAATATATATAAGGAATTTGTATAACTCAATAGAAAACAAACTAATAACCAGACTGAAAAATGAGCTAAGGACTTGAATAGACGTTTCTCCAAAGAAGACATACAAACGGCCAACAGGTACATATATTGACTTTTCATGTGAACTGATAAAATCCTTTTGCCCATTTTGTTGTTGGTTGTACTTTTTGTTTTCTTCTTGATCTGTAACTGCTCTCTGTATATTCAGGAGCTTGGCTTACTATGTGGTATATGTTGTATACTTTTTTTTCTGTTTGTCATTTACCTTTTATCTTTATCATGCAGATATTTTTAATTTTTATGTAATCACTTGTTTTTCTATGGCTTTGGGGTTTTGAAAGTCTCATGTTTCTCTTAACACTTTTCAAGTTGTATCTTCTGTGATTAAATTTTTTATCCATCAAGAATCCATTTTGATGCAAGAAGTGAGCTCTCAATCCAGTTCTGGTAACTGTCTATCCAATTTGTCTAAAAAAATTATTAAATAAGTTATTTTTTGTCTACTGATTGAAAATGCCACAATTATTATATACTAAACTCCTAGGTCTAATTTTGAATTGTATTCTATTAACCTGTCTATTTATATGATGACTCAAAACCTTTATTACTATAGCTTTAAAACTGTAAATTTTGTTATATGGTAAACTTAGTTCCCCATCATTCTTTTTTTCTTTTTTTTTAATTTTCCAATTTCTTGGCTACTTTTATCTAGTTGTAGTTCAATATGGAATTTAAAATAAGCTTTCCTTCTTGTCCACAAATTAATACTGGTAACTTTATTGTGATCACATTACATTTATAGATTAATTTAAGGAAGAGTGACATCTTTACAATATTGTATCTTCCTAGCCAAGAACAAGGTATGTCTCACTATTTATTCTAGTTTTTGTTTATCTCCCTTAGTTTTAAATTTTTCTCTGCACCTTTTCTAAGTTTTATTGTTAGGTATTTTATTTTGTTGCTATTTTAGATAGAATTTTTATTACATATTATTTTCTTAACTTTTTTTGTAGAGGAAAGTTATTAAGTTTTGTGTATTAATTTTGGAACTACCCACCTCTTGTTCTAATTTTTAAATTATTGTATATGTACTAGTTATACAATTATATCATCTAGTAGTAATGTAATTAAATCTCCTCGTTTCCAATTTTTAATACCTCATACTTCTTTTTCTTGACTGAATGCATTGACTGGTACTTTCAAAAAATATTTAATAGTTTTGTATTCATCTTGTTTCTTCTTTTAATGGGAATACTTTTAGTGTTTTCCCTCTAAGCAAACTGTTGACTTCTGGTTTGAAATAAATGTGCTTTTGATTCTACTAAGGAAGTATCCATTTATGTTACATTATTAAGAAACTTGTCCAGGAATATTTACTAAATTTTACTAGATGCCTTTTCAACATCTATGGAGAGAAAGGGTTATAATGTTCTCATTTGAGTTATTCCTTTGGTGAATTATACTAGTAGGTTCCTTAATGTTGAACCAGCGGTGTATTATTGGAATGAACGGCAATTAGTCACTCTGTATTATTTTTAGTGTGTTGTTGAATTCTGCTTGCTAATATTTTATACAAGACTTTTGCTTTAATATTCATAAATAAGATAAACTTATAATTTTCTAGCTTTTATACTTCTTTAGGTTTTAGTATTGATATTATCCAGAATTCTTTCTTTATGTTGTAAAACTGTTTAAGTAATACTGTAATTACCTATTCTTTTAAAGTTTGATAGAGTTCCCCTAAAATGGTCTGGACATACTTGTTATTGTGTTTTAGAGATACAGAGACTATTTTTATTGTAAATCTCCTGTTTCTTCTTTGTTAGTTCTGTTTAGGTTTTCTATCTATTCCAGGGACAGTTTTGGTTATTTGTATTTTGCTTGAAAAATAATGCTTTTCATGTATAATTTTTACTTCACTTATATAGATTTATTCAAAGTATTCTCTTGTAATTGTTATAATTTCCTTTGAATATGTGAGATTTTTTCCCTCTGTTCTCATGTTTAATGTTAAGTATTTGTGCATTCTTGTTTTCTTCTCTCCTGATTACGTTAGTGAGATTTATCTTGTTAGTTTTTTCATAGAATCAGTGTTTGAATATATTTGTTCTGTTATGCTGTTTTCTAATTCATTAATTTACAATTTTTTATATATCTGATTCATTTAGATTTATCTTTTTCTGTATTTAACTTCTTGTTTACCAATATTTTATTATGAAAAATATCAAATATAGAGAGAAGTTGAAAAGATTATACAGGAACCCTCAAACTCACCAGCTAGATTCTTATTATCAATTATTTACTGTATTTCTTTATCACAAATGTAGCCAACTATCCATCCCTCTTTCCATCAAACCATCTTGCTTTTTTATTCATTTCAAAGTAAGTTGCAGACATCCTTACATTTCACCTCTAAACATTTTACCATCTTATTACCTAGAGTTCAATCTTTATGATTCTTTTCTATTTTTGAGGTAAATTTTACATTTAATGAAATTCATGAATCTAAGTGTATCAATCAATGAATTTCAACAAATGCATACATCTTTGTAATTCAAACCCCTACTACAATATAGAACATTATCATTATAATCACTCAAAAATTTTAAATACTTATGTGTAAATCTAACAAAACACGTACAACACTTGTATGCTTAAAACTACACAATGCTAAAGAAAGAAATCAAAGAAAATCTAAATAAATCAAGAAATATACCATGTTCATGGATTGGAAAACTCAATCTAGTAAAGGTGTCAGTTCTCCCCAAATTGATATACAGGTTCCAGGCAATTCCTATCAAGATTTTTTTATATATATAGACAAGATTATTCTAAAATATATATGGAAAGGTAAACAAACTAGAATAGCTAAAACAATTTTGAAAAGAGGTGTAAAGTGGGAGGAATCATCCTATCTGATTTCAAGACTGTTTATATAGCTACAGTAGTCAAGGGCCTGTGGTATTAATGGAGTGTATTAGTGATCTATACATAGATCAATGGAACAGAATAGAGAACCTGGAAATAGAACCACACAAATATGCCCAACTGATTTTTGACAAAGGTGCAAAAGCAATTCAGTGGAGGAAAGCTGGCATTTTCAATAAATGTTGGACGTCCATAGGCCAAAAAAAAAAAGAAAAAAATGAACTTCAATTGAACTCTAGCACTTTATACAAAAGTTAACTCAGAATGGATCACAGACTTAAATGTAAGGCATAAAATTATAAAACTTTTTAAAATAGAAAATTTTCACAATCTAGAGCTAAGCAAGATGTCCTTAGGATTGACACCAAAAACATGATTAATAAAATGAAAAATTGATAAATTGGATTTCATCAAAATGAAAAACTTTTGCTTTATGAGAGACCCTGTTAAGAGGAAGAAGAAAAACAAAGGGTAAAATGTGCATGCCAGCTGATTCTGTCCCTTTCTGTGAGGAAAACAGCTTTCCCAAAATTTCACCAGTAGTGTTCTTTTTATATATCATTGGCCAGCTTTGAATTATGTGGCTATTCCTAGCCACAAGGAAACCTGGGAAATTGAGGTTTTTTAGTGGAGCTCATTACCACCTTGATAAAGTCATGTTTTTGGTAGTAAAAACAAATAAGAAGAAAGTCAGAATGAGTATTGGAAGGGCAACTACCAGTGTATGCAACAACTGTAGTTTCGCAGGACCTTTTACTCCTAAATGTTCCTTTGTTCATGTAACAGTGAACTTGAACTAGTACTTGATGCTGCATGTGTAAATGGCTTATCCTGCCAATTACTTAAAAAGTCATTTAGTCTGCCTTATGGGAAATAGTCATCTTTGATGTCAACTACTTAAGACAAAATAAAGTGGCTCCTTAGCACTACTGCACTTTTGGATGTTCTGTGAAGCCTTTTGGAGGAATACCTATCTTTT